GAGGAAGAAGATGAAGATTCGAGAAAGAAGATGCTAGAGGAAGAAGATGCTAGAGGAAGAAGATGATGCAAAATTGTAATTTGGTGGGTCCCACTTTTGTTTTTGCGTTGGTATGACCATGTCATCATTTATCCAGGTGTACAACTGACGTGGCTTAAATTTTTGATATATTTGTGAGTTAACGGACGATTTCTAACGGAAGGACCAAATCAGGGTAAAAATGGTAAACAGTAGGGACCAAATCAGAGATTTTTTTAGTTCAAGGACCAAATCGGAGGTCCGTACAATAGTTCAGGGACCAAAAAGGGGTTTTAACCTAATATTAACTTGATGGAAGAATTTATCGTATTTTGGTTGATTAGTATCGTTGTCTTCAACCTCTAGATTTCAATTCAATGTTAGAATTCATCTCATTTGACAAATAGTATAATCCAACAACAATTAATCTTTGTTATTTATCCACTAATTTAGTTGAAGATAATTGAGGATGGTTGTTCATGAAAATGACAAACAAGAATACATACCACCCAAGAGAAAAGCATAGTCTAATGAAGAAGACGAGATATTCATAGTTCTAGTTTTTTTATTGATCAAAAAGAAAATAAAACTTTGTTTACCAAAAAAATAAAATAAAAATTTTCTATTAAAAAATAAATAAACTTAAGGTATTTACATTACATTGAAGTACAACAAAAAAAATATCTAACATAAAAAAAAAAAAAACTATAAATATTTGAGTTGCCCCTATTTGAAGCAAGTGTAGGATAGTCATTCATTTATATAATTAAATGCAAAAAAGCATAACACTTAACAACATAATATAACAATAGACATAGCAAAACCAAGGAAGGCAAAATTAATTAAAGTTACAAAAATTTAAAAAGTATAATTCTTTTAGAAAATGGAAAACAAATGGGTTAACTTGTCAACCTGCAGTTTCGACTTGAACATAACTCATAACTTGTTCAGGTCAACTTCACAAGTTACTAACAAATCATGAGATAACATAAGTAAGTCCTAACCCATTAATACTAGTTCATGGGTTAGGTGTATTTTTGCCACCTCAACACGAGAGAGACACTATGTATAGGTGTTGAGTTCTATCAATGCGTTTTAAGGCCATGAGGTCAAATGGGTTAAAGTTGACAGTATCAATGAGGATTGGGTCATTATAATTTATAAAATAAGAAAAGAAAGATGGCATCTTAATTGGATGAATTTAAGTACCTAACTTGCCTCTAAATATTGATAATGAGAGACAACCTTTTTTCATATTCTTATATATGGCCCACCTACATCCTTATAATACTATTC